ATACATTGAGGACAATGTATGCTTTAGGTGTGGGGGAGAAGTTTGTGTGTTTCAAATTTGTCTTCATTAAATTGCTTACTTGAAAGAGTTAGACTTGTTTTTGATGAAAAGTTTTCAAAAATTTTGAGTTTTAACCACTATTTTCAAATGTTTCAACTGTTATGTTGCTAATCATCATAGGTTGAAAAGTGAAGCATGAAAAACATAAATTTTTCTTTGCTATGTAATATTCCGATATGTTGTGAATTTAAGTGTTGAAGTTGATGATTGGAATATTATCACAAAAAAAAGTTACTTTAAATTGAGTGATCTGAGCTTTTCTGAGCAAATAGAGTTAGTGTATTTGAATGCTCAACATATTTATGTGGGAAGTATATCATATCTAGTATGGATTAATTTTGAATTTGCCAAGCTAGGACACATCTGTGCTCTTGTAGATGGCTTTCCACAAGAATAAAGGCACTAGGATTTAGCCAAGTTAGCTTAAAAAGCCCACCCATTTATGTTTACCCCTAGTGAACCATTCAAGCCTTGACCGTTTTTCTTTAGCTCCAGATACATTAAACCATTAGTATTTTTTTTTTATCCTTTACCCTTTTGTCAAGCTCTGGATTAGGTTGCTTAAACTGGGTTTGTGGTAAGAGTTGGATATTATAGTGGCATGTGTTCTTGTTTTAAGTTATGCATTTGATGTAATATAGGGCGTGCAGAAAAAAAAGAAGAGGAAAATGCAAAAAAAAAGGGGGAAAAATACCAGGAAAAAAAAAGAAGAAAAAAAAATCGCATGAATCCCTATTTCCTACTTGTTTAAGAGTATAGCAAGTTCTTAATATATCTTTGAGATGCCATAGGTTTGTAAATGTAATATGAGAAGTTTACTGCAAGTTCTTATGCAAAGCACACTTAAAGTTTGAGTATGTAAAGTTTGAGATGTGAGGATGAGCAATGCCATTATATGGGATATCTGGTAAGATGGTGGAGTTTAAGTATACTTGGTCTATCTTGACAAAATAAGCCTACATCCATATTTATCCACCTGTTTCCTTACCTAAAGCCCCATTACAACCCTATGCAAAGACCTTTATTGGTAAGTTTATTTGCTTGGTGTATGATGATGTGATGCCTTTTCAAATTCTTGTGTATTCTGCTAGATATTGATTTGTGTGAATTGTTTGATACGCTACACTTGAGAGAAAAGAAGAAAGAAAATGAGTGAACTTACTGGTGAGGTAATTTTGCTCCAATCATTGATGGAGTTTAGGGATGAAGCAACTATCTTGTTGACTATGCGTAGTATTAGAGGAGCTTATGTTTGATTGCCTAATTGATTAAGTTTATGATTGATGTGTGACATGGTGGTTGAGATTGTGTTTTAAATGATTTCCAAATTTTGTGGTTCAAAGTAGCGGTTTGCAAGTTGAGTTATAAGTTATTCTTTTTAAGTTTGCTTGAGGACAAGCACTTGGCCAGGTTGCGTGAACCCAAAGGAGCTCCACAGGCGCCTTCGTGCATACTTCGGATCAATGTCTCCGCCTCCCATGGTCAGATGCCACGCAACAGAGGCGTATGGTACCCCCGCTTGCAGAAAACAAAGAGGAAAATGCAAAAAAAAGGGGGAAAATACCAGGAAAAAAAAGAAGAAAAAAAAATCGCATGAATCCCTATTTCCTACTTGTTTAAGAGTATGGCAAGTTCTTAATATATCTTTGAGATGCCATAGGTTTGTAAATGTAATATGAGAAGTTTACTGCAAGTTCTTATGCAAAGCACACTTATACCCCCGCTTGTAGAGAATGCCGTCCCGCATCAGGTAACCCGTCGCCTTGAGTCGGATCCTCCTAGCTTCCTTTGGATCCAAGGGTAGCACACCATTTTGTAAGTAATGGACAAAGAGTGTCATCCAAGACGCCTCGTCTAGCGTCACCGGCAAGATTTCATTGGCTTGGATGCTCGGACGTGACTTGACCTCCATATGAATTCGTTGGGTAAGATGTGCAGCATGGGAGGAAGCTAGTTTACTCAAGGCATCAGCCCGCTTGTTCTGAGATCCCGGGATATACTGGATTCGGAAAATGCAAAAGTCGCGTTCTAACTCTCTGACCTTCTGAAGATACTTTTGGAGAGCCACTTCCCGAACCTCATACAGTTTGAGAACGTGGTTGACTACCACTAGAGAATCGCTGTAAACGGAGATTTCTTGAACATCGAGTGTATGGGCGACGGATAGCCCCGTGATCAGCGCCTCATACTCCGCCTCATTATTCGTAGTGGGAAAATCCAGCCGGATGACGTAAACGACTTCCGACCCGTGCAGATCAACTAGAACCACACCCACGCCAGAACCTTCTTCGGAGGAGGATCCATCGACAAACAGGGTCCACATCCGCGGGCCATCCGGAGGAGGTTCCTCAAAGGCTGGATTCTCCTTAGTAGCCTCGACTCCCACTTCTCGATGGACCTCCACAAGGAAGTCGGCCAAAGCTTGACCCTTGATTGAGGTCCGGGGTCGAAATTTTATGTCGTGTTCCCCGAGTTCCACGGCCCACTTAGTCATTCTGCCCGACATGTCGGACCTTCGAAGGATCTGCTTCAGAGGTTGATCTGTAAGAACTAGCACTGGGTGTGCCTGAAAATAGGGGCACAACTTCCGGGCCGCGGTCACAAGGCAAAAAATCAACTTCTCTGCCGGCGTGTATCGAGACTCAGCGAGTAGAAGGGCCTTGCTGACGTAATAGACAGGGATTTGTTTTCCCTTATACTCTCGAACCAGGGCCGCACTTACACTCGATTCCCCCACCGCCAAGTATAAAATCAGCGTCTCCCCCGAGTCAGGCGTGCTCAAGGTTGGGAGAGCCTTCAGATGATCCTTGAGCTCCAAGAAAGCTTTCTGACAGGCTTTGTTCCAGCCGAAGGTATCGGACTTCTTGAGAACCTAAAAGAACGGAAGGCTTCGTTCAGCTGCCTTTGACAGAAATCGCCCTAGGGTGCAATGGACCCCGTGAGCTTCTGTACTTCTTTGATTGTCCGAGGAGGTTGCAAATCCAAGATGGCCTGAACCTTGGAAGGATCCACATCGATCCCCCTCCGAGATATTTGATAACCCAAGAATTTCCTCAATCCAACACAAAATACACACTTCCTTGGATTCAATTTCATGTTGGCAGCTCTGAGGGTTCGGAAGGTCTCCCCAAGGTCGTTAACCACCATGTCGATCGGACGACTTTTCACCACCATGTCGTCCACGTAGACCTCTACATTTCTTCTCAATTGGGACCCGAAGACATAGTTCGCCACCCGTTGGTACGTGGTGCCAGCGTTCTTCAGCCCAAAGGGCATCTTCACATAGCAGAACACACCCTTTTCGGTGATGAAAGCAGTCTTCTCAGCATTATCCCCGTCCATAAGGATTTGGTGGTACCCCTTATACGCATCCAAGAAGCTAAGCACTGGATACCCCGAGAGAGCGTTGACCTTCTGCTTGATTGCTGGAAGGGGTAAACAATCCTTGGGACAGTGTTTATTGAGATCCTTATAATCCACGCACATACGCCAGGAGGAGTCAGGCTTCTTGACCATAACAGGGTTGGCCAACCATGTGGGATAGAAGATCTCCTTAATTATGGATGCGGCCAACAGCTTAGCAACTATAACATCGATAGCAGCGCTGCGCTCAGGAGCCATCTTCCACCTCCTTTTGTTGTATGGGCCGCGCGCTGGGATCAACATTTAACTTATGCACGCCCAACTCAGGAGGAATCCCTGTCATATCGCTAGGAATCCAAGCGAAAATGTCCTCAAATTGCTTTAGCAATTCAATCACCATATCCCGAAGACTAGGAAGCAGAACAACTCCCAAGCTGACGACCCTTCCTTCAACAAAAGGATTCAGGGCCACGTCCGCGACCCCATCGTCCAAGGGACCAGAACCATCATTCTCTTGATCCTCGTCCTCCTTAGAAACTGGAGCCTTTTGGATGGCTCCAACGGTTGCCCCTCTAAGGAAGAATTCGCGCCCCTTCATGGCGGCAATCATCATGGACTGTCGAGCCAACTGTTGATCACCCCGAACTTCTGCGACCCCAGCATCGGTTAAAAACTTCATGACCAAGTGGTACGGAGAATAAATGGCCTTGGCCTGGCTCATCCACGGCCGCACAAGGATAATGTTAAAGGGGGCCACGACATCCACCACTGCAAAGTCCACCATGATAACCCGATCCTTGGGATACGTCCCTACGGTTACTGCCAGACTGATTATACCCAGGGGCATTATCACGTGGTTAGAGAAGCCAACCAAGGGCATGGCCGTGGGTCGAAGCTGGGTTTTATCGAGGCCCAACTTCTAGAAGCAATCAAAATATATGACATACAGTGCTGCCATTATCAATATACACATGCCGAACTTCCCGGTTGGCAACAATGGCTGTTATAACCAAAGCATCCGAATAATCCTCGGAACCACCCACCAAATCTTGCTTAGAGAAAGTAATCAACTCCTTTGGACGAAGCCGTTTAGCCTCATATTCACCTGGCGGACGAGGACGTGCACTTTTGCAGAGGGCAGAAATACTTTGAACCCCCAAGGGCACTCCATATATAGCACCCACAGGAGCGGCTAAAATCTGACGTGCTTGCGCCAGGTAAACATCGTCCTGAGCCTTGGCACCATCGCCAGCGGGGACTTGATTGGCAACCTTACCCTTGTTCTTCTTCCACCGTCAGTTCTTGGGTTGGCCAGCCATCTTTTCCTCGGACCCCTTCTGGACACAATCCTGGAACTTACCTGCCTTGAGTCCCTCTTCGATTTCCTTCTTCAACCGGTAGCAATCTTTGGTATCATGTCCTTTCCTTCGATGAAAATCCCACCATTTGGCAGAGGACTCATTCTGAGATTTGCCCCGGGGGCGGAAGCTTGAACTCATTCTTATGGATTTGGAGAATCTCCTTCCTGGTTTTAGTAAGAATAGGGGCTTTCGACTCGAACTTGGGAAATCCTATGTTCAGCTTCTTCGCCTCCGGTTTCCAGCTTTCTTCTCGCCTTCTCCAAAGGCTTCCTTGGCTCTTTTCATGGATTCATCCGTCCGAATCTCCTTCTCTACTGTCTCCCATAACTTCTGGCTGGTGGCCGGGGGTTTAGCCGTGAGCTTACCCCTCAGGGTTGCACCCGTACCAAAAGGGGAGAGGCCATTCACGAACTCCACTCTCACAACCAAATCATCAACTTGATCTATCATCATGAGCTCCTTCGTGAATCGTTCATAACACTTCCCCAATGACTCGTTCCAACGCTGCCGAACCGACGACAAGTCGTGGATGGTATGACTGGCTCTCTTGCTAGAGAAGAACCGAACATGGAGCTTTTGCCCTAGATCCGCGTAGGACCTAACGCTCCCCGGGGGTAGGTTATGGAACCAAATCATGGTAGCACCTGTCAGGAAGGTAGCCATTGCTTTAGCAGAGAACTCCTGGGGTGAATCCCGCAAGTCCATGGCTGCGATGTAATCGGCCAAGAAGCTAATCGGACACGTATCACCTCCGTACTTAGGAATATCTGTCGGCAGCTTCAGGTTTACGGGCCACGGACAACACCTGATGTGTTCAGTGAAAGAGCTTCCAAGTGATTCCCTACTGTTAAGTATTGCCTCGAGCTAGGGATCTAACACACCCTCGCGGTCCACCCATGGCTCAGGTCTTGGTGGGGGTTTTGGGTCCCGTTCCTTGGACAGGTCACGACCCTGGGGGACCTTTCCTTCTCCCATGAAAATAAGGCTGTCATCTGGGCCCTCGCGCTTTTCTTCATAATACATATCTTCAAATTTACGAAACTGCTCCTCGAACCCGGGGAACCTCCCGGCAAAGGTCTTCCAGAAACGGTCATCATGGGATCCTCGTTTGGGTGAACGGGACGGACGAGAACGCCCTAAAGGCTCTTTACTCATTTCTGCTTCTTTACTAGTCCGGCGGGACCGGCTCCTCCCGTGTTTGGCTGAACCATGGTTGCGGCCCTCGCGAGGGTCGCTAGGCCTCCTGGAGCGACTCTTACGATCACTGGTCTGAGAAGCTCTTCCGATGTCTTCCTTGCCCCGGTGATCCCGCCGAGATCCGAGAGATACGCGGGAACTTCCCCCTACCACCTTTGACCTCAATCCAGGCCTGCGACTCGTTCCCTCGTCGGGCCTCGTCCGAGTAGAGACCATAACTCTCGTAGAGCACTTGGGCTCACCCTCGGCCAAACGGGAACAAAGTGATCCCCACAGTCGGTGCCACTTGTCAAGGGTAAATCCCGGAGGCGTGGAGTCAACGGTCCAACCCGAACGAGAACCTGCAAGACGGGGGTTAGCACTCCGAAGATTAAGTTAGTGCTAGAGAGAGAAGCAGACAATTAACACACTTAGAGACAGAAATGGTAGTGTGGAATTTCCTTTGTAATAAATGTACAAGAAATATTTATAGGTTCCAATGGGACAATACTTGTGGGCCCCCACGTCGGGGAGAGGGGGGCAAATCCGTAAATAATTATGAGTAACCCCTAAAATGGCCAACTAGGCCTTTAAAGGAAAGGACTGGACCGCTTGGGCTTATAGTCAGGCCCAAGCTATGGAATCGATTGGGTCGGTCAGCTTTTGACCCTCAACAGTCATCAATCAAGAGACTCAAGAAAGGTAGGAGCAAACAGTACTCAACTATGAAGGAATACTATTAGTTAGTATTTTCCATAACCAACAAAGATATGCAACACAAACACTATCTCAAAATGCTTATGCCAAATCAAAACTCATCCAACAAAAGTAGGACAAACCCCACAAAGGAACTCATGAACACACACATCATGAACTCGAAAACCAAGCCAAAGGAGAGGCTCATCAATCGAACTACTAGAAGTAGTATGAGAATAAGAAGTTTAGTTTTAAAATAATTCTATCAAGAAGCATACTTGAAAAAGAACGGTTTCTGCAAGATCAAAAGATCCAAGACAAGATGAAACCCTCTTGGTTAAATCGTACTTGACAAATGAAAAATGGACACACCATTTAACAAAAAATCCTAACAGGAAAAACTCTCATTAGAGAAGACTCAAAATGACCACACACAGGTACCTTGAACCTTAGGCCTTGCCCCCTATTTATAGAATAGCAACCTCGGTCACAAAGCATGAAAGAAGACCAATCTAGGACTCTCTAATCTTATCTCTCATAGGAGTAGAGTTAGAAGAGTATTTGATCTCTTTGACTCTATTTAAAATCTAGGAAACCTTATCTAAATGACTTATCCTCAAATAGGATAATACTTAGAAGGAATCTAAGACTCCTAAACAAAACACTGTAGCTTAATTCAGCCCACATGGATTATCTTAACTAGATAAACTCGAAAAATTAAACTCCTAGACTTGACAACTCTAATCTCGAAATTCAGCAACAATTGTTGAAGTAAAATGTCTTGAACGCCCTTCCAAAAGGTGGAATATTGGTCTTGCTCCCCTCAAGTTGTAGATAACTCCAATTTACTCCAAAAATTGTAGAATTCTCTTTATTGACTCCAAAAGAATGGAAAAACACTTAAAAACAATTGAGTTAGTTTGTACCCTATCCAATTGGGTAGCAATGGACTCAATCTTGAACACTTTGATCAAATAGGTCGTTCATTCAAGAACCAAAATGATTCTTCTCTCTAGCTTCATCAATAATCTTCATGGAGCACCTAGAGTCAAACTTCCTTGATACTCTTGAGTACTTATTTCCATGAGTGAATCATCTCCTTTGGTTTGAACCCCAAAGTTAATAACATTCTCATCATCTTGATCATAGCTCCCTTGAACCAGCTACCTATCACATAGGTAATCAAGATTCATCCTTTATTCCTTGAGTGGCCTGCAAAGTAAACTTGGCATCCCAAAACTAGAATGAAGGACTAGCTCATTCCCCTCACTAGGAGAATGACTAGCCATCGTCACAACTAGTCAAATCAATTCACCTACTTAACACTGGTATAGCAGAAAATAGGGTCGTACCCACAAAGAAGGAATACTAATTACCAGGTATAAATTACTCCTATTATTATCTAGATAAATGATGATCTCAGATTTATAAAATTTAAGACTAAAATAAATAAATAAAATAAAGGCAAATAATATTAATTCAAATAATCAGACAAAGAAAACCTAGGACATTGGGTTCACCTACTGAATATTTGGTTTAGTTCAATTCATAAGTATTTGACTTTTAACCTCCATTAATCTCACAACGATTCACCTAATTAAGAACTATTCACTGTCGTGATATAATTCTCTTACTCTAATTAATCCTATGACTACTGTCGTGACTATAGGAAATAACTAGAGCACATTAAGAACTTAAGAATCTAACGTTGCAAAGGTTGTGTTCCTACTGTCGTGGTTCACTACCTAAGTCCAATATTCCCATGAACTAATATTAATTTTTAACTGTCGTTCCATCAATTAATATCTTTAAACATGCAAGTAGTGGCCAGTTACAAACATGGAATAAAAGCAAGAATGTTAAATATTGATTAATGGAGAAATCAAAAAATAAAGAACCAAATAACCCAAATAAATTCGGTGGCTACACCCAAGCCCTAGATTAAAAGAATTTAGCCATTAAACATTATCAAAAATAATTCAACAATATTTAGAGACAAAATCCTAAAAATTTAAATTAAATAAATAAAACTCCAAAACCCGAGACTAGAATAGGGCTGCCGAATTGGAGACTTAGAGTCCACGGCTGCTGCTTGCTTTCTCTTCTCTTCCTCGGATTCTGCTGGTGCGTGGACAAAGATGAAGGAGGCTTCGGTGATGCTTGGTTGCTGCGGTGGTGAGGCAAAGGTGGAGGTCGGCGTGGGGGGTTTGCATCGGCGGTGAGGAGCTGGTTTTGATGTGAGGTGGTGGTTATGGAGGCAAGGTGATCTCGGCAGTGGGATGAAGGAGGCTAAGGTGATGGAGAGTTGATGATGATGATCAAGATTGTGCTGCGTGAGGTCAAGGTGTAGATGAAAAAGGGGGAAGGTGGCTGCCGTCGGTGGTTTTGCTGAGTGAAGGAGGAGAAGTGGTAGTTGCAGCGGCGGTCGTAGGGTTTCGGTCAAGTTTGGTCCAGTTCTATTGTAAAACTAAATCCCTAATCCTCTTTTTATAGGCTTCCGTCAAAACCCTACTTCTTGAAGAGGAAGAAAACTTGTGTCCCAAATAATATCGGGATTAAAATTCTTACCCAATTCTAATCCCAAATCAGCCGCACCATCATCGTTTATTCGGCCAATTTCCAAAAACTAAAAATAAAATTCCAAAATTGCATCATCGGCCCTCCAATTCTCTAAACTCATTAATTTCTTCCCCATCAATTGCTCCAATCTTCAATTTTTTCCCATTGAGTTGCTTTTAATTCGATTTTAGCTCAAAACTTCAACAATTCTTCATTTGAGTACAATTCCTACAATCAAAGATAAAATCACATAAATAACATATTTGTACTCAAAATATTAGCAAAATCGCACATGAAGGGATATAATAAATAGGTAAATTATGAGCACATCAAATACCCGCAAACTTGAAATATTGCTTGTCCTCAAGCATTCCCAAAAACCAAAACAAACAAAAACATTAAATTATTTAATTAGGCGGCCTCAGAGATTTAACATCATACAACACAAAGGCTTCAACTACCTCTAGTATGTATTAACTAACAAAATGCAAACCATATGCACTTTTAGCCCCCACGCTTGTGTGTTTGTGCGATCCATTTCTCAAGGACATCACTTTACATTCAACATAGAAAACAAAAGCTCTACTACAAATATGCCATATATTAACACTTTAACACAGATTCACATTTCACACCATATTTCAATGCAATGGACTGCCAAACATACTATGAAGTAGAAGGACTCATCTCACAGACAACCTATTCCCCCTCGTAACCCATGCTTCGGTTCATGCGGCTTTTCTTCAGGACTCTTTCCAACTCAGGCCACTACCCATAGCATTTTTCCACTCCTATACATAGTGGCTCAGCAACTTAGGGCTGTCTACATATCTATTTTTCGTCACCAGGCCTGAGGACTCTCCGCTCAGGTTGCCAATTCCTCAGCTCTCAATGGGCTAGCATCAACATTGAATGCTCTTCCTTTTCTCCCTCATTAAATTATCCTAACCTCAAAAGCATCCGCCAACACCCCTCCCCCAAACTTAATTAACACGAAGTGTCAAAGCAACAAGGTTTTTTAAGGCTGATATTGGGTTAATGCCTTGTTTTTCCTTCACAACATGATGGGTTCCACATACAAATCATATAAGTATGAGTGAATCAAACACAACTTTCATGGCATATCTACATCAAACTCATGCAACTATGTCTCACTTTAGGCTTATCCTACAGTCACGACTAAGTGCATAGAAAGCAGGGTATTCAAAGCAACATATAGAATTACACAAGCTAGCAGTACAATTCAAAATAGTCTAATTCTTACATGTTATAAATAATTAAACCATCTTCATCATAGGCCTTTTTTGGATTTTTCAATTTTTCAATTTTTATGGTTTTTTTTATTTAAGAAAGATAAACACAAATATTCCTCTCCCCCACACTTAAAGCATACATTGCCCTCAATGTATAAAACACAAAAGACAAACAACCAAGTGTAAAGAAAAGAAAAGACAAAAACAAAAAGAATGAAAAGAAATGACACAACCTTGATAATGCAAAACAGAGGACCGGAATTGTTGAATAAACTATTGCAACTACTATCCAAGCACACGACCAACTTCTTCAGACTTTTGGATGTTTCATTTTCAGCACCACTGGACACCCGAGTTCTGCCCTTCCAACAATCTAATTGCAAACTAAAATAAATTAGAAAAACAAACGAAAAGAAAACAGATGATTAAGAAAAACTACGAAAATCCAAAAATCAAAGATCTTCAGATAATCAAGAACAAAAATCTTAACCATCAACTTATTAATGAAAGAAAAAGAAAAATAAAGCAAAAGAAAGAATTGGGTTGCCTCCCAATAAGCGCTTCTTTAAAGTCATGAGCCGGACTATCTGGCTAATCAATTAGGTGGATGCTCAATCAAAGAGTGTGAAACTCTTTCATACATCATTCTTCTTCCATTTTTATCTGTGCCAACATCACTGATGCACTTGTCAGGAGGGTTATTAAAATAGCAATAAACACATCATTTTT